CTTACAACCGTCGTCACCATTGTCATCATCATCTTTATTTTAGAGTTGAAGGAACTGAAGCACAGAGGGGTTAAGTAACTTGGCAAAGGTCACACTGAAAATAGTAGAGCCCAGATCTGAAGCCAGTAGTTCGTGTTCTTACTGCTACTCCATGTTCTCTCTCAATAACGAAAGCTAGCAGTCAAGAAGGCCCAGACATGAGATTTTTATCATGTTCCTCACCTCAACATAAACCTTTCATAGAACTCTAGTCCCTATAGGGAAAAATAAGATCTACGTTCTTAGCTTAACATTCAAGGTCCTTCAAAATTTGAACTTGTCTCTAACGCTATTGCTCATATCATTTCCCGCAACTAAGTTTATTTTCATCTCTCCAACCTTATCTATGGATATCCTATCCATCTTAGAAGCCTGGTTCACATCTTAGAATTCTGATTCTGCCATTATAATATTTTTCTTCTAATTCCAGATACAAGTATTCTTTCCTCTATCACCTACTGCATAAGCAATCCACTCATCTGCATATTCATTTATTCATTTACCAAAATAATACTTTTCAAATACTGCCTGACTTCATGGCCATTATGTATATGGCATTTCACCACTACTCGATTATCAAGTCTTGGAAGGTAGATGCCATGTAGTCTCTACTTTTATATTTCCCATGGTGCCTGGCATAGGGGGAGCCTAATGAATATTATGGGTTGATTCATTAATAAGCTGAGTTATATGACCAAACTAAGGCTGACAATTTGACTTCTATGAGAGAGTATTGCTATGAGGATAAGCCCTCTTTCTTTAGAAACTTCTGTCATGATCAGTGAGAAACTAAGTACTAGAAAGGAAACTCATATATGAATTGATCACTCTGTACTGAATTAGGCATCAAAGAATTCAGAAGACAAAAAGATAAAAGATAATGAAATCCTTGCAAAAAAATGAAACTAGATCACTATCTTACACCATAACCAAAAATTAACTCAAAATGGTTTAAAGACTTGAATGTAAGACTTGAAACCATAAAATTCCTAGAAGAAAACATAGGCGGTAAGCTTTTTGACATGAATCTTAGCAGTGTTTTTGTGGATCTACTGCAAAGGCGAGGGGAACAAAAGCAAAAGTAAACAAATGGGACTACATGAGACTAAAAAGCTTCTGCATAGTGAAGGAAACCTTCATCCAAACAAAATGACAATTTACTGAATAGGAGGGAGAGATTTGCAAATCATATACCTGACAAGGGGTTAATATCCAAAATATATAAAGAACTCATACAACTGAACCACAAAAAAACAAACAATCCAATTAAAAAATGAGCAGAACAACTAAATAGACATTTTTCCAAAGAAGACATACAGATGAACAACAGGCACATGAAAAGATGCTCAACATCACTAATTATTAAGGAAATGCAAATCAAAACCACAGTGAGATATCACCTCACACCTGTCAGAATAGTTATTATCAAAAAGACAAGAAATAGCAAGTTTTGGCGAGGATGTGAACTGCACTGTTGGTGAGAATGTAAACTGGTTCAGCCGCTGTCGAAAATGTTATGGAGATTCATCAAAAAGTTAGGAATAAAACTACCATACGATCCAGCTATTCCACTTTTGAGTATTTATCTGAAGTATACAAAAACAGTAATTTGAAAAGATATATGCACCCCTATGTTCATTACAGCATTATTACAGTAGCCAACATATGGAAACAACCTAAGTGTCCATCAATGGATGAATGGAAAAAAGATGTGATAAGTACATACACACACACAATGGAATACTACTTAGCCATAAAAAGAATGAAATCTTGCCATTTGCGACAATGTGGATGGACCTTGAGGGTATTATGAAAAGTAAAATAAGTCAGACAGCAATAAACATCATATCATTTCACTCATATTTGGAAGATAAACAACAACAACAAACAAACACATAGTTAGAACAGATCGGTGGTTACCAGAGGGGAGTGAGGTTATGGGGTGGGTGAAATGGGTGTAGGGGATCAATTGTATGGTGATAGATGGTAAGTAGATTTTGGTGGTGATCACTTTGTAGTCTACACAGACATCAAATTATGATGTTTCACACCTGAAAATTACATGATACTATATACCAATTTTACCTTAATAAAAAATAATAATAATATAGAAACCTGAAAAAAAGGATACTGAAATCCTGATTTTGGAATAAATGGTGGGCAATGTGGACTGGATACAAGGACTTTTTTTTAATTAAAAAAATTGGTTAATCTGACATATAGTTAGAGTTACCTTTAGAATAATGGGGTAAGTAGGGTTACGTGAAAAGTGTTAATAAAAAGCAACACAGATTGAGTAATATTAAAAACTGAAGTAGCTTGGTGTTGAGATTTTTGAAAAATTATAATGCAATAACTGGTTTTGCAAACAGGTTAGTGATCAAACTTCTCAGACATTTAAATCTCACCAAGAATCCCACTTATTAACCCCTAAATAATGAAGACAACATATTTTTAAGATGAAAGAATGATATTCACCCTATGAAAGGAACAACGCCGTGAACAAAGTCTTATTTTATGACTCTAATTGTGGCTGCCTAGAAAATGCACAGTGGGTCGGGCCAGGTGGTCCAGTGGTTAAGTTAGCATGTTCTGCTTTGGCGGCCCAGGGTTTCACTGGTTCTGATCCTGGTCACTGACAAGGCACCACTCATCAGGCCACGCTGAGGTGGCGTCCCGCATGCCACAACTAGAAGGACCCACAACTAGAATATACAACTATGTACTGGGGGGATTTGGGGAGAAAAAGCAGAAAAAAAAGAAAGAAAATGTGCAGAGCTTCTCTTTAATTTGACAGCTTCCAGGAAGACCTAGCTGCATGGTAAGTAAAAATACGATAAGACTTTGAATCGTGGGAGCCAAGTCCCATGAGTGATGATCAAGGAGTTCAGGTATCTTATTAGAGGACCAGGGTACCTTGGAGGTGTAGCGGAGGCTAGGTAGGTGGTAGTGATGGTGGGCGAAGTGAACCTAAAGGAACAGGTCGAAGGCCGACTATACATATAAGAAGCTTAAATGCTATGCTAATTAGCTTATCTGGGAAATGGTGAAATTATCACAAGCTTTAAAGTGGTAAGGTAAAATGATCAAATTTCTGTTTTCAAAAACAAAGTGTGGCTGTGTCTGGACTGAGCCAACAGGGTTGTGCTCGAGTAACCTTTTTGGTAGCAGAGATCACCACGTAGGTCCTGCGGGTTCAGAGGCACCAGGCCGGCCCCGAGCAGAGGGCTTCCAATTCCAGTCTCACTCAGGCACGTGCCCAGAGTCCAGTCCGCCCACATGCCCAGCCAGAAGGATGACTCTCCTCCTTCTGCGCCGCTCCAAGACCACCAGAACATCTTTGGAATGAGAGAGTTGAAATGTCAGGAATAGACTTGTCTTTGGAGATGCCAAAAGGAAAATGTAGCTGAAAATCAGGCACAAACAGCTGATGAACAAGGTTGCAGCAGACCGTGAGGACACTAGCATCCCGGAGGCTTGGATTGTTGCCTTGACTGTCCAGATCCGCAATTATTAAGAACCCATGTGGCAACATCAAAAGGTCAGAGCTCATAAACACTCTCTGATGATAAGCAATGACTAATTTCCCCTATGTGCCTCTGAAAAGCTCCTGCAGCTGAGAGACCTAGAAGACTCTGCCTGGAGATAAGAAGGCCAGGAGGCCCCTATTGGGGGTGGAGGGAGCATTCCAAGCCAGATCTGGGGCACTTGGGCAAAAAAACCCCCAAATAATAAATTATGTTAAAATCAGAGAGAGACAGAGATGGGAAGGGGAGTGGAGGGGAAGGGAGAGAGAACCATGGTGGAAATGCAGAGGATAAATTAGAGCGATGGGACAGGACAAGTTAGATTACTGTAGTGTATCAGGGACGATTATCAGAACAAGTTAGATTACTCTAGTATATCAGGGGCCATTATCAGAAGATAATGGTGATGGCTGAACTAAAAGAATGCGAATTCACAGGAAGAAACAGAGGGAAGAGACCTTTTAAATTCAGTTCCCCTAAGATCTTTCCCCACGACCTAACAATTTTGAATGTCTAGGGGAGAATCCTATGCAATTACACTGCATTTCCAAATATCTCTGGATTTGATCTTAAAGAAACCCAGGTGTTTTATTCTTAAAATTGAAATCTTCAAAGAAAATTGGGCATATGGTATAGAAGAAAGTTCCCCTAGGTTCTAATCCTTGCATTTCTGGGCACAAACCAGCCCTGAGACCTTGGGCCGTCACCTCCTCTGGACTCTAGTTTCTAACTATTTAAAATAAGGAGCCTGACATATGAGATCTCTAATTTCTAACTAACATTAATTAGGGATCTATTTTAAATTCAAAGTTTTATCTTTCTAAATCATAGGTTATCTCCTTATTGCAGTCTCTCACATCTGCAAAATGAAAAATAAATGCCTCAGTTCTCCAATGACAACTATCAATTACATGACAAAAATGAGACACCATAAGCTGCTATAGAAACTATTTTGTTAAAGATTTATATACTTTTTGGCCATGCTCCTCTTATCTGTAGGTACTGCATGATCCTCATAGTATACATTGGGGCTGGTATGAGAAGGCAAAACTCTACTGAACTCAGAAACAAATGGGAGAGGAACACATATATAAACAGGCAAAGTATTGACAATGATAGAGCTGAAGGGTAGAGGCTGTGTGGGGATGAATGAAAGGCAGATAAATGATCGTCCAAGTACTTCTCGAAGCAAACATTTGGTACATAATTTGTTTTTGATACAATCGTAATGAATATCATTCTCCTCTGTGGAACAACACGCCAGATCTCTAGCACATCACTGCTTGGTGCCCAGTGGGCAGCCAGTGCCCAATTGCCAATGCCACTTTTTAGCGCATGTTCATCTGCAGGATATTAAACAGATTGCCATCCTTTTGATGTTTGTGAATACGAGCAGTAAATACCATATGATGTGACTCGATGGATTTGTTTCAGGAAAAAGAAAAAGACAAAGAGGAAGACAAAGAAGGGAAAAAGGAAGAGGAGGCAGAGGAAGAAGAAATTTGCACTTCTCCCTGAAATGAGGGGAAGGACTCGGTCAGTGTGAAAGGATATCCGTGTTATGGAGGAAGCAAGCTTTGTATCCAGAAAAGAATGGTTCCTCTACCAGTCCACCCCAAAATTTCTGGCATGTTTTGTGACTAAGAAAATGGCTCCCGCAGAGTCTGTAAACAATTTTGGTTTTTCTTTTTCAGGAATAGAAAATCACTGGAGAATAGAAAATGATTTCATTATACTTCAGAATCTTCCAGAATGTATCTGGCTTAAATGGCCATAAAAATTGTATGCATGTATGAGTATGTGAGTGTGCATCAAATTATCTGTTGCCCAAGACATAACTCTAAGTTTTATAAGAAATTCATAAGTTATAAACATCTTTACTTTTGTCTTGTAAAAAGTCATAACAGAGTTGTTCAAAGTAGACAAAGTCCAAGAAAAGCCTATCAGTTGGGTGAAGCTAAAGGAACATTATTATGTAAAAACTCATATTTTAATCTTGCTCCCAATGTGTTTTCACGACATCTAGCAAGTGATTTAAATTTTTCACTTTTTTTCTTGGGAGATGTTGGACTAGATGATTGCTCAAACCCTGTCCATCTCCAGGCTCTTTTGACATTGTAGAAGGCATCTTGGAGTTTTCTTTGAGAATACTGTGTTTTGAAAATACTAAATTCTATGCGAGTAATCAAATTCCTCAGATGAATCACCTCTAAAATTCTAAAGCTATTCCCTTTCTAGATGGGGAGGGTAATTCTGTTGTTCTTTTCCTCAATGTTCTCATCTGTGTAATTGAGCTAATGGTAGGTATCCATGGCCTGTTTGAAATAGGGTTGGGAAGAAACAATCAGTTTATTCAGTGAAATACACTTAAGGCCAGACAAGCCTTAGGTTACAACCAGAGAGAGAGACAAAGAGAGGGAGATCTTAATCAAAGTTTAGGCTCCGGGGTATCTGCTCATCTCCTGCTCTGGTCACTTTGCTAAGGCCACATAAAGGTGGAAACAGGGAGGTGCGATTAAGCTAGTTGCCTACTTCAGTTCAGAGAAAAAGCTAGACAAATCAGAGATATCCTTATTTGCAATCACGAACATTTTTGTCCTGGTTCTTGCCTAGCACTCTTTCGAAGGTAGTAGTATAGACATATACTAAGTAAGTGTCTCCTTACTATTTTTGGCTTTGTGTTTTCCCAACTTGGATTTCCTATGACACTTAAAAAACATACTTTAGGGGCTGGCCCTGTGGCTGAATGGTTAAGTTCTTGCACTCCGATTCAGCGGTTCAGGGTTTCGCTGGTTCGGATCCTGGGCGCAGACATGGCACTGCTCATCAGGGCACACTGAGGCGGCGTCCCACATGCCTCAAGTAGAAGGACCCACAACTAAAATATACAACTATGTACTGGGGGGATTGGGGAGAAAAAGCAGGAAAAAAAAGAGAAGATTGGCAACAGTTGTTAGCTCAGGTGCCAATCTTTAAAAAAAACAGAAAACAAAAACCAAAAAAACCATACTTTAATAACTGAATATAAGAAAGATTTGTGGATTGTTTACAATGAACTGAATTTCATAGATAGTTTAATATAAGACGATTAATACAGTTTTAACATCCTCTACTTTTCTCCCACCACAGGACAAGGTCTTCTTTTCTTTTCTTTTTGTAAAATTAATCAGTTTGTTGAGGGCCAATATGATAATGAACTGTAATGTATGCTAAACACGTAGAGGACAAGGATCGCATGCAATTTCTCCAAGGTTCAAATAAATCCGGCTATAAAGGTTATTGATGGAAATTACGGGGGAATATTTAAATATTAAATTTATTAAGTTTATTCATTTTGTTTTGATTGAAACAATCGAATAGACTATAGAGCTGTCATTTCAGCGGGAGGTCAAAGTAGATGACTGACTGAGATAATATTGTATTTACTCTAGTCTTTGCTGGAAGATTACCCTAGGGGATCTTATTAGTTCACATGATTGAGAAAAAAAAGGCGTGGAAACAAATTTTCCATATCCAACAGTTGTAGAGTTGGTGGGTAATGTTTCACCTAAATGGGGATTGTTTAATGTAACATTTATACTTATGCATTGAGAACAAGGTCTTACAGTGAGTGAAACAATAGCTTCCCTGTGAGATTACAGGTATTCATATCAAAATGATAATATAAGCACCAGAAATCAGGCACAAACAGATAATAACTTAGGGTGAGGAGGGGATGATGCTTATCCCTCTAAGAGCGATGTACATGGTTGCCCTTCCTAGAGCTAAGCTAGAAATGGTTAACTGTTTAGTGCTGCTTCTCCATGGGTCCCGTGTAAGACGCCTTTAATTAGATTTAATAGTACAGCTTGTTTCTCTTTGGTTACCTTGAACATTCCTTTCCCTTTATGACCTTCTTTTCTTCTTCTCTCTCTCTTCCTCCTTACTCACCCACCTCCCCTCCCAGACTTACTTGTTTTAGTTCACAAACTGCATCTTTGTAAAATAGTATCAGAATTAGATGCTTTTCATTCTCTTGGTTAATGTTGGAGCTCATGCTCTCTCACTCAAACATATGCCTGACATTAAATGATGACTTGCTGTTTCATAACATGCATGCAATGAGACCCCATTATCATAATTTAACCATGTAGTTCTGCTTAGTGGCAATATACAGAAATTATTAATTAGCTAATTTTATAATAGAATATACAGAAGCTCCTTTATAGCCTTGAGGCAAAGTACTGTAATTTACCAATATCATATGAGTTAAATTATGGAAATGAGACCTAGAAAGGCAAAGATATAAAAAAAAAGAAAGCTAATAGTCACAGTAGTGTTTATGGAAGGAGTGAGAATGCGATACTGAATTTAAGGACTTTTAGCCTGATTTTCTTATGATATCTTTGTTTGTGACTCTTCATAAGGTCATTTGCAATGAGTCCCAGACTGAGAATTAGGACCAGATAAATGAAATGGGAAATTAATTTGTTTTAAATGATGCTAGACATTATCATGTACTTCTCTAGCCTAATCACACAAATGACTTCAAATAAAGCTCACAGACCTGCTAGAGATAGGAACGGGCACACCCCATGGCAGCAGACTGTAGAATCAGCGAGGTACATCAGTATGCATAATAGAAAAGAGCAAAGATTAACCTGCTTGGGCAAAGTTTGGCTGTATTCCTTCAGAGTTTGAAGATAAATTTTTTTCTCCTTTTTAAAACAGTTTTATTGAGGTATAATTGACATCTAATAAACTGCACATGTTTAAAGTGTTCATTTTGACTGATTTTGACATATATATTCACCTTGAAACCCGTCACCATAATGTAATGAACATGGTCATCACTCCCCAAATTTTCTTTGTGCCCCTTTGTAATCATGCCTGCTACCCATTCTTGCCTTCTCCTCATCCCCCTCCCCCGACCCCAGTTCCCAGGCAGCCACTGATCTGTTTTTTGGCATTATACAATAGTTTGCAGTTTCTGAAACTTTCTATGAATGGAACCAAACACTATGTATATACTCTTTAGTCTGGCTTATATCATTTGGCTTAATTATTTTGAAATTCACCTAAGCTGTAGTGTGTATCATTAGTTGCTGAGTAATTTTCCATTGTGTGGAAGTGCTATGAACAAATCTTTGTATGGACATATTTTCATTTCTCTTGGGTAAATACCTAAGATAATATAGTTATATATTTAATTTTTAAGGAAACTGTTAAAACTGTTCTAAAATGTTTGTACCATTTTACATTTCTAGCAGAATCATGTGAGAGATTCAGTTCTTCGATATCTTTAACAACACTTGACATGGTTATCTTTTTAATTTTAGACATTCTAGTCAGTGTGTAGTTATATCTTATGCAGTTTTTCTTTCTTAGTTTGCTAATGTAGTGAAGTACGTTAAGTTTTCTAATTACATTGATCATTGTCCTAGCTTTGTGTTCCCTGACTTAGTTATGATGGCTTATCCTTTTTATATATTGTTAGATCAACTGCGCTAAAATTTTGTTTATAATTTTTGCATCTATGTTTATAAAGGATATTGACCTGCAGTTGTTTTTTCTTGTAATGTCTTTGTCTGGTGTTGGAATCAGAGTAATGCTGTAATCCTGGTCTCAAAGAATGAATTGGAAGTGTTCCCTCCTTTGCAGTTTTCTGGAAGGGTTTGTGTAGGTATTATTTCATCATTGTTGAAGCCATTGGGCTTGGAGTTTTCGTTGTGGGGAGGTTTTAAACTGGACATTCGATTTAGTTAATAGATAAAGGGCCATTCAAGTTATCTATTTTGGGATCTCATCAAGATGGTGGTGTAAGCAGACTCTGGACTCATCTCCTCCCACAAACACAACCAGGTTACAACTATTTTTGGAAAAATTATCCTGGAAACAAAACTGAAAACTGGATAAAAGGACCCCCACAACAAGGGACAGTCCTGACTAAGGCAGAAGGGGCAGAAACTCCTGCTGGAGAGAAAAAGTCACCTTTGGGAGCAGTGCAGCAGAGTTTCTCAGCCTGCCAGGTGCGAGCCACCCTAAGGTATGCAGCCCTCCCTGGAGGGGTGAGGTCTGGAGCAGGGGCTGATTCTGCTATAAACATACTTCAAACTCAGCACAATTGAGATGAGGGTCTTACTATCTGGCTTCACTGGCTGTTAACTGCAGCGGGGAATACCCCCAGAAAAGCTGTCCGATGAAAACCGAAAAGACTCTGGTCTTAAAGGGCCCACACACAAACTCACCTGTCTCAGCAACCTGAAATCACCAGAGAGAAGGCTTACAGTCCTTTGGTGAAACGAGATTCACCTGGTGGGCTCTGGGGGCATCTCAGTGAGAGGAGGGTCCTCTCCAGAGACTAAGACATTGGTGGGGGCCATTGTTCTGACCTGGTTCAGGCGTGCTGACACAGACCCCGGAAGATGCCATAGAGGTTCCTCCCCTGGCCTGTTAGCCCAGGGGGCTACAACACCCGGTAGAGCACAGATTTAATCCAGTTCAGCCAGGGCAGGCAGTCCACCCTAGGGACCTGCCCCACCCAACAGTAAGCCCTCAGGCTACTTGTCAGCCTGCATTGACTAGGTGTCTTGATCCTCTACATGAAGGTAAGTGTGTCCCCCCTCTGTGGGCAGGGCCTGTGTGAGGACCCGGTGAACCATGGGGTCATTGGTGGAGAGGTGGGGGCCTCTTCAGTGGGGCATTGGGGAAGTATGCATGGATCAGGACTGTGTTGATGGTTTGTGTGGTCCTGTGGTGGGTGAGGCTTATCAGTGGCAGAAGACCTCTGCTTCA